TTTCTCCAAGGCCAACACTGTGATCATAACATGTTTTCTCTCTTATAATGTGCCTTCAAATTGACTCTGCCTTCTGGAGAACCTCTCCTAGGGTATTCTTGGTAAGGTTTCTTCAGAGGAGATTTGTTTTTTCTTTTAGGATGCAAGAGTGTGACTTGTCCAATGGTGTCCAATGACTGAGCAGCTGGACCTGTCTCTCCTTCTTTCTCTCCAATGCCAAGGCAGTGGCTGTTGGGATGGAAGCAGGGCACTTTTAGGAACAGGAATGATGGAGCTGTGTCCTCCTCTTCTTCGCTCCCTCTGAGATTGGGTCAGTGGTGGTTGAGATGGAGGTAGGGCTGCAGTCTGCTTCTGGAGCTAAGCATGATGGAGATGCTCCTACCTCTCCTTCTCCCCATCCAAAGCAAAGGCAGTGGCAGTTGGGATGGAAGGAGAACCTTTGCTTCTGGAACTAAGCATGATGAAGTTCTGCCTGCCTCTTCTCTCCATATTCAAAGCAAAGGCAGTGGCGGTTGGGATGGAAGGAGAGCCTTTCCTCTGCATCTGGATTGAAGCACAAAGTTCTGCATGCCTCTCCTTCTCTTCCTCTAAGACTAGGGCAGTGACAGTTGTGATGAAAGGATGTCCTTTCTTCTGCCTTTGGGCACATTGGAACTGGGGGAACCCTTTTCTCTTCTAAGACTAGGGCAGTGGCAGTTTCTTCACGAGGCATGTTTTGATTTCATCAGTGTTGAATTTCTGGCCCCACAGGGAAAAATTTCCATAGCATTGGGTTGCAATGTATTAAAAAAGAAAAATTCGTAGAGAGTCCCAGGGAGAGCAATACTGTCAAAGCTGCTGCGGGCAACCAGGGAGGTGGGTTTCAAACCCACCCCCCATTCCTTCTTGCAACTCAGATGCTTGGGTAAGTAAGACAGCAAAATGGTGACAATGAATAGAAAATGCCGTAATGGGAAAAGGAAACAGCACTTTCTTCTTCTTCTTCTTCTTCTTCTTCTTCTTCTTCTTCTTCTTCTTCTTCTTCTTCTTCTTCTTCTCATTCTCTAAGGATAGGGCAGTGGCAGTTGGGGTGGAAGGAGGACCTTCCTTCTGCATCTGGGCATGTTGGAACTGTGTCTTCCTCTTCTTCTCTTCCTCTAGGGTAGTGGTAGTTGGGATTGAAGGACGGCCTTTCTTCTGCATCCATGCACTTTGGAACTGTGTTGTCTTCCTCCTCCTCCTCCTCTTCTTCTTCTTCTTTTTCACCTCCTCCTCTTCCTCCTCCTCCTTTAAGGCTAGGGCAGTGGCAGTTGCGATGGAAGGAAGACCTTTCTTCTGCATCTGGGCATGTTGGAACTGTGTTTTCCTCTTCTTCCTCTAAGACTAGGGCAGTGGCAGTTGGGATGGAAGGAGGGCCTTTCTTCTGTACCTGGGCATGTTGGAATTGTACCTCGGCACCTGGGCACGTTGGAACCATTCTTCTCTTCTTCTAAGACTAGGGCAATGGCAGTTGGGATGGAAGGAAGGCATTTCTTCTGCATCTGGGCATGTTGGTATTGTGTCTTCCCATTCTTCTCTTCCTCTAAAACTAGGGCAGTGGAAGTTGGGATGGAAGGAGTGCCTTTCTTCTGTATCTGGGTATGTTGGAACTGAGGCTTCCTCTTCTTCTCTTCCTCTCAGACTAGGGCAGTGGCAGTTGTGATGGAAGGAGGACCTTTCTTCTGCATCCGGGCATGTTGGAACTGTGTATTCCCATTCTTCTCTTCCTCTAAGTCTAGGGCAGTGGAAGTTGGAATGGAAGGAGTGACTTTCTTCTACATCTGGGCACGTTGGAACTGTTTCTTCCTCTTCTTCTCTTCCTCTAAGACTAGGACAGTGGAAGTTGGGATGGAAGGAGTGCCTTTCTTCTACATCTGGGCATATTAGAACTATGTCTTCCCCTTCTTCTCTTTCTCAGGGATCAGGGCAATGGCAGTTGGGATAGAGAGTGAACCTAACATCTAGTTCCAGATCTAGGTATGATGGAGCCCTGACTGCCTCTTCTTCTCTCCCTCTAAGATGAAAGCAATGGCAGTAGGGATGGAACGATGGCCATTCATCTAGTTCCAGACCTAGGCATGATGGAACCCCAACTACTGCCACTTTTCCCCCTATGATAGTGTAATGTCTTCAGCCCGTCTTGGGTTACGACCATGACCGGAATGCAAGTTTTGCTCTCATGTCCTTGCTGCCTCTGTGCGCTAGACTTTGTGCATCATTGAAATGCAAGACGGATTTCACGAGGCATGTTTTGATTTCATCAGTGTTGAATTTCTGGCCCCACAGGGAAAAATTTCCATAGCATTGGGTTGCAATGTATTAAAAAAGAAAAATTCGTAGAGAGTCCCAGGGAGAGCAATATTGTCAAAGCTGCTGCGGGCAACCAGGGAGGTGGGTTTCAAACCCACCCCCCATTCCTTCTTGCAACTCAGATGCTTGGGTAAGTAAGACAGCAAAATGGTGACAATGAGTAGAAAATGCCGTAATGGGAAAAGGAAACAGCTCAGGGCTGGGATTGGGCTGATAACGACACCGGGGATTTCACACTAAGGAAGGAAGAAGGCCCTGATTGTAGAGGAGGAGAAAGAAAACAAGGCATTTAATGGATGCGCCTGCAGTCATTTATGGAGCATTAAAGTATGTGGAACAGTCAAGAACCGTCAAATAGGAGGGCATTTTTGTGATTGATTGGCAAGATTCGTTCAGAAGAGCTTTGCCTTTCCATTCTTTGATTTTGAATAGATGGAAAAGGATTAGCCTGTGGAACTCACTGCCATTTGATAAGCACTCACGTTCAGGGCGTGCTCAAAGCTCTCATAGAATCATAGAATCAAAGAGTTGGAAGAGACCTCATGGGCCATCCAGTCCAACCCCTTCTGCCAAGAAGCAGGAATATTGCATTCAAATCACCCCTGACAGATGGCCATCCAGCCTCTGTTTAAAAGCTTCCAAAGAAGGAGCCTCCACCACACTCCGGGGCAGAGAGTTCCACTGCTGAACAGCTCTCACAGTCAGGAAGGTCTTCCTAATGTTCAGATGGAATCTCCTCTCTTGTAGTTTGAAGCCATTGTTCCATTGCGTCCTAGTCTCCAGGGAAGCAGAAAACAAGCTTGCTCCCTCCTCCTCCCTGTGGCTTCCTCTCACATATTTATACATGGCCCTCATCATATCTCCTCTCCGCCTTCTCTTCTTCAGGCTAAACATGCCCAGCTCCTTAAGCCGCTCCTCATAGGGCTTGTTCTCCAGACCCTTGATCATTTTAGTCGTCCTCCTCTGGACACATTCCAGCTTGTCAATATCTCTCTTGAATTGTGGTGCCCAGAATTGGACACAATATTCCAGGTGTGGTCTAACCAAGGCAGAATAGAGCATGGGGAGCATGTCTTCCCTGGATCTAGACACTAGGCTCCTCTTGATGCAGGCCAAAATCCCATTGGCTTTTTTTGCCGCCACATCACATTCCTGGCTCATGTTTAACTTGTTGTCCACGAGGACTCCAAGATCTTTTTCACACGTACTGCTCTCGAGCCAGGTGTCCCCCATTCTGTATCTTTGCATTTCGTTTTTTCTGCCTAAGTGGAGTATCTTGCATTTGTCCCTGTTGAACTTCATTTTGTTAGTTTTGGCCCATCTCTCTAATCTGTCAAGATCGTTTTGAATCCTGCTCCTGTCCTCTGGAGTATTGGCTCTCCCTCCCAATTTGGTGTCGTCTGCAAACTTGATGATCCTGTCTTCTAGCCCTTCATCTAAGTCATTAATAAAGATGTTGAACAGGACCGGGCCCAGGACGGAACCCTGCTTGTGGCACTCCACTCGTCACTTCTTTCCAGGATGAAGAGGAAGCCTTGGGGAGAATCACCCTCTGGGTTCGTCCATTTAACCAATTCCAGATCCACCTCTCCGGAGTTTTGCCCGTACTTTCTCCTGATTCAGTTCAACAACAACAACAACAACAACAACAACAACAACAACATTCTATTTGCTTCTCGCATCTCCTCAAGGGTCAAGGGTTTTGCCTGCATCTATGGCAAGCATAGGAGTTGCAGGTCCTGGGATGTATAGTACCAGCAATCTAAGAGCACTCTGAACTCCACCAATGATGGACCTGGAACTAACTTGGGACACAGAAGCCCCATGACCAACAAAACATACTGGAGGTCTTTGGAGGGATTTATAGGAGTTGTAGTTCACCTACATCCAGGGTGCATCATGAACCCAAACAATGATGGATCTGGACCAAACTTGACATGCATACCTGATATGCCCAAATGTGAAAAGTGATGGGTTTTGAGAGGAATTGGCATGGACATTTAGGAGTTGTAGGTACTGGGATTTATAGTTAACCTGTAATCAATGAGTACTCTGAACTCCACCAAAGATGGAATTGGATGAAACTTTGCACACAGAGCCTCAATGTCCATCAAAAAAACCTGGAGGTCTTTGGGGAAAATTCACCTTGATTTGTGGGAGTTGTAGTTCAACTACATCCAGAGAGCATTGTTAACCCTAACACTGATGGATCTGGACCAAACTTGGCACACAGACCTGATATGCTGAAATTTGATTACTGGAGGGGATTGGGGATTGGGGGTGGGGGCTGACCTTCCTTCTGGGAGTTGTAGTTCACCCACAAACAGAGAAACTGTGACCTCCACCGATGATGGACCTGGATCAAACTTGGCACACAGAACCCCCATGACTAACTCAACATATTGGAGGGGTTTGAGGGGACTGACTCACCATAGTGGGAGTTGTAGTTTACCCTACAGCCAGAGAGCACACTGAACCCCACCGATGATGCATCCAGAGCAAACTTGCACAACATGACAAACTTCAAGTACTGATGGAGTTTCGGGGTTAACCTGGCATGATGGGAGCTCTAGTTCACCCACGACATTATGCATTTTTCACAATTACAAAACTGGCTTTTTCAAATAACCCAAGCTTGTCTATTTATAAAACTCAGCAAGTGAAAGGTTTACCTTTGACAAAGACGTATAACTTGGCCTTGAGTTCCTCATTGGAAGAGAGGTGGCTGTAAAAGCAGGTGAAGTAGCCGGTGTCATTGGCCACGGCACGGTTGACCACAAGCCTGTTGCAAACCAGGGATGGTCTGTCGGGACACTTCTGCACCCTGGTGTGCCACCGCTTGCCGCCCACAAACTGGTCATTTTTCCAGCCCCAGGTCAAACCTTTTGCGCCCCTGACGAAAGAAGACATGGCAACATCAGGAAAGACTCCAAAGTCCACCATCATAAAGCATGATCAAGAAGATTAGAGCTGAGGTTCAACAATGGATTCTGGATTGAAGTCCTGAGATGGATAGGACTCCCAATTCAAGCTGTTTCCAGCATTCCTGAGATACTGCTTACCTGCAAGTTATGGCAAACGCATCTCCGGTGTCGACTGTAATTGTGTCTCCCGCAAAATCCACTTCTGGTTTCATTGGTCCATTTCCCATGGAAAGTCCTGATGGAAAAAATGGATACATTAAATACAATGGAAACAATAAGAAATCTATATAAACAACAATGTAATGTTTGTTTGCGGGATTAACATAACTCAAAACCCACTTGACGAATTGACACCAAATTTAGACACAAGACACCTACTAAGCCAATGAGTGACCATCACTCAAAAAATGGTTTTGTCATTTGGGAGTTGTAGTTGCTGGGATTTATAGTTAACCTACAATCAAAGAGCATTCTGAACTCCTCCAATGATGGATTGAACCAAATGTGGCCCACAAAACTCCTATGACCAAGAGAAACACTAGAAGGGTTTGGTGGGCATTGATCTTGAGTTTGGGAGTTGTAGTTCACCTTCATCCAGAGAGCACTGTGGACTCAAACAATGATGGATCTGGACCAAACTTGGCCCAAATATTCCATATGCCCAAATATGTCACAGATGGTGTTTGGAGGAAATAGAGCTTGACATTTGGGAGTTGTAGTTACTGGGATTTACAGTTCACCTACAATCAAAGAGCACTCTGAACCCCACCAATGAGAGAATTGGGCCAAACTTTCAATACAGAATCCCCACAACCAACAGAAAATACTTAAGGCCATTCATTCCAACTCCCTTCACCAGGGCAAGAAAATGTAATCAAAGCCCTCCTGACAAAGTGCCATCCAGCCATAGATATAGATAGATAGTAGGCTTGGGCGATCAAGAAAAAAATTGGTTCTAAACTCGTTTCATTTCTAGGGTGCGCTAGCGTTTCGAAATTCTGAGGACTTCCGAAATTTAAGATTTCAAAATTTCAAAATTTCGGAAATTACGAATTGATTAGTTAATGGCGGACGCGATTGCGCAATACGCTAAAAAACCTCCAAATGGGACAGGAGGTTCTGAAGCTTCCCTCTCCCTCTGTTGTTGACTGTTGGTGTGATAAAACTAACAACAACTATATCATATTATATTATATTATTATAATATTATTATATTATATTGTTGTATATTATATTATAATATATTATTATATAATATAATATAATATATATATATATTATATAATATAATAATTTATTATATTATTATATTATATTATTATAATATTATTATATTATATTATTGTATATTATATTATATATATTATATTATATTATAATATACAATTATAATATAATATAATAATATAGTAATATAATATATAATATAATAATATAATATAATATACAATACAATACACCAGACATACGGAAATAATTACGAAATAATTACGAAATAATTACGAAAATTGGAAAAAATTGTTTCGATTCTTAATTACTCCTCACACTATTCCTGCATGGCTCGATATTGGATCGTAAGCTAATTTAAATACGAATCAATAACGAATAACGAAATTAACGAACTGGGTCGCCCAAGCCTAATAGATAGATATGATTCACACACAGATATATTATCCTAGATTTGAAAGGGACCCCTAAAGAAGGACAATTGTATGTTGCATGTTCCAGAGTAGGCAAACCAGACAATCTCCACATCAACACTGACAAAGAAACAGCAAAAACTACTGTTTACCCACAAGCAGAAAGGAATTACATAGATTAGAAACCAACACTTTCTCATTGCTTTATTTTCCAGATCACCAGACTGGGCCACAGCAACGCATGGCAGGGGATGGCTAGTAAATAAATAAAAAATGGATACAATAAGAAATAAAAATGGATACAATGGATACAATAAGATACATTAGGAGGAGACTTTAACTTTAGGTGCTCTTACTGTCTGTTTGTTTATTTAGAACATTTGTATCCTGTCCTATTCTCGACCTCCAAAGAGGGTCTCAGGGCGGCTTCCAACAATATAAAAATACCAATAAAATACACAATTACATAAAATGATAATAAATATGCATTTAAAAACAGTTCACCAAGTTTAAAACGTGCTCCAAATCAGTCCAAAAAATGTGCTCCATACATCTAAGCCAGGGGTCCCCAACTTTTTGAACAGAGGGCCAGGTCACAGTCCCGCAAACTGTTGGAGGGCCGGATTATAATTTGGAAAAAAAAAGAATGAATTTATTGTCGAAGGCTTTCATGGCTGGAATCACTAGTTTCTTGTGGGTTTTTTCAGGCTATAGGGCCATGTTCTAGAGGCATTTCTCCTGACGTTTCGCCTGCATCTATGGCAAGCATCCTCAGAGGTAGTGAGGTCTGTTGGAATTAGGACAATGGGTTTATATATCTGTGGAATGGCTCCTCCTGAACAAAATCTGGCTGCCAGTATTAAAAAACTCTAAAATTACAACAGCAAAACAGCAGAGAGGAAACAATCAGGCACATCTTAACACCTCTCAACAGAACATTTTCCCAGGCTCAGCCAGGCCTTCAAATGCTAATGAAGGTGGTCAGCTGAAACATTCACACCTAGCTCCAGCAGACAAGAGTCTTTGCCCCACCCCAGCCATTCCACAGATATATAAACCCATTTTCCTAATTCCAACAGACCTCACTACCTCTGAGGATGCTTGCCATAGATGCAGGCGAAACGTCAGGAGAAATGCCTCTAGAACATGGCCCTATAGCCCGAAAAAACCTACAAGAACCTAAAGAATGAATTCCTATGCACTCTGCACATATATTATTCTGCACCCCAAAAAATCAAAAAACAAAAACCCACACTTCTATATAAATAAAAATGTAATGTTTGTTTGTGGGATTAACAGAACTCAAAAACCACTGGACACAAGACACCGAACAGTCCAATGTATGTCCTTCACACAAAAAATTGATTTTGTCATTTGGGAGTTGTAGTTGCTGGGATTTATAGTTCACCTACAATCAAAGAGCATTCTGAACCCCACCAACGATGGAATTGAACCAAACTTGGCACACATTTCTCCCATGACCAACAGAAAATACTGGAAGGGTTTGGTGGGCAGTGTCCTTTGGTTTTGGAGTTGTAGTTCACCTACATTGAGAGATCACTGTGGACTCAAACAATGATGGATCTGGACCAAACTTGCATGAATACTCAATATGCCCAAATGTGAACACTGGTGGAGTTTGGGGAAAATAGAATTTGACATTTGGGAGTTGTAGTTGCTGGGATTTATAGTTCACCTACAATCAAAGAGCATTCTGAACCCCATACGATGGAATTGAATCAAACTTGGCACACAGTTCTCCCATGACCAAAAGAAAATACTGGAAGGGTTTAGTGAGCAGTGTCATTTGGTTTTGGAGTTGTAGTTCACCTGCCTCCATAAATCACTGTGGACTCAATGATAGATCTGGACCAAACTTGGCACTGATAATCAATATGTCCAAATGTGAACACTGGTGGTGTTTGGGGGTTGTATTTGCTGGGAGAGCATTCTGAACTCTACCAATGATGGAATTGAACCAGTCTTGGTACACAGAACTCCCATGAACAACAGAAAATACTGGGTTTAGTGGGCATTGACCTTGAGTTTTGAAGTTTTAGTTCACCTGCCTTCACCACGCTGGCGTTCCCTGGCCACGCCCACCCTGCGCCGCTCCGTCAATTGCGGAAACCCTCTGCTCCAGCCGCTCTGCTCTGCAGAGGACCCACCTGGGAGGCTTCTCCCTCCCACACAGGCAGAGCGGCCGGAGCAGAGGGTGTCCGCAATTGGCGGAGCGGCGCCGGGTGGGCGTGGCCAGGCCAGGCCGCGCGGGCCGGAGAAATGCCCTCGGCAGGCCGCATACGGCCTGCGGGCCGTAGTTTGGGGATCTAAGCCAATAAAAACTGTCTATTCTGTGAAGGCTTGCTTCCAAAGCCAAATCTTAAGTGTTGTGAAAACTCAGGAGGGAGGGGACAGATCTAACCTCTTTAGGGAGGGAGTTCCACAACCGAGGGGCCACCACGGAGAAGGCCTTCTCTCTCATCCCCACCAAACACAACTGCGATGGTGGCGGGACCAAGAGCTGGGCCTCTCCAGATCATCTTAAAGTCCTTGACGGTTCATAGGGAGAGACACGTTTGGACAGGTAAAGTGGGCCAGAGCCGTTTAGGGGTTTATAGGTCAAAACCAGCACTTTGAATTGTGCTCAGAAGCTAATAGGCAGCCAGTGGAGCTGTTGTAACAAGGGTGTTGTGCGCTCAGGCCTGTAGCGAGGGGGGGGGGGTTAGGGGTTCAACCCCCCCCCGAAATGTTTCAGATTTTTTTAAAAAACCTGCTTTACTCATGAATTTTAACTGGTTAACCAAATCCCCATGCTAAGTCTATGAGATGCAAAAAATCAAGAGTCCCTCCAGAACTGCAAGCACTATCTCAAGCAAATATTAGCAATTTATTCACACTGTCATTACTTGCAGCAATAGCCGATGTAGTTGTTCTGGTACAGCTGTACCAGGAGCTCCAACTTTATTTGCTTTGTATTAAATGTTTGCTTGCAGTCCTAGGTTTCAGGGACTCTGCAGATAGGTGGCTTCTTTGGTTGCAGTCATAGGGCAAGTCACCTGTCCATCATTGTTAAGTTTTGGTCCCGCCCCTTGCTCAGGGAAATTGGGAAGGGAAGGGAGCCATTTTTAGTTAGTCTCAGCAAGGTAAGCTTATGTATAGGATTTGTGCAGCTTCCCCTGTACAAAAGCTTCAACCCTTAAGACCTTCCAGGGGAGAAAGGTCTTAAGAGTCTCCAAAGAATTTCCAGGAAAACAGCTCTAAAGACCAAAGAACTCCAGCTGGAGACCATCTACTGCCTTGCTGGTAGGTCCACTCAATGTTCGAGACGCAGTTCAACCTGGTAGCGGAGCCCACATCAGTAAGTGTTAGATCACAGTCAGCCTGGGAAAAGTTAAAAAGGGGATTTTCCTTTAAAGAAGAAGTTATTGAAGACACCAGTTTGGCTGAAGACACCAAACTGCACACAAACTGCACACAGCCAGAAGTCTTTGTAGTTGCCTGTTCTTCGTGGGCAAGATTAGGAATTCACCAGTTGCCTAAAAGCTTGGAATCATTTGCTTAACTTTACTGAAGACAAGAGAAGTTTCTGTTTGAT